TCCTGGAATTCTACAGTGCGTTGCCACACCCCCCCCCCCCACGACAAACCACCTCAGGGATGAGAACCTGAGTGCAGCCATGTGTCAGGTGATACCTCAGCACCACCCTAGTCCAAATGGACCGGTGCAAGGTTTTTTCCAGTGGCTGGAGTGTCAATCCTGCCACCAACCCCCAAGTTTTTCCCCTATAAGTTGGAGGACCTCCTTATAGGGCTGGACGTAGATTAACATCATACCCAGGATGAAGCAGTTGCAGGTTAAGGGCCTTGCTTAAGGGCCCAACAGAGTAGAATCTCTCCAGGCATTCACAGGCTTTGAACCACCAACCTTCCAGTTGCTGGCACAGATCCCTACCCTCAGAGCCACCACTCCGTCCCACCATTAACCCAGAGTTACCAAAGTAACTGTAGGTGTGAACGGTGTGTGTGTACCCTACAATACAGGTTGTTCCCTGCCTTATCCTTAGCCACCCCGTAACCCAGAATCGGACAAAGCGGTGTAGAAGAAGAATGAATGAATGTATGATTCTACAGTACAGTAGGCGTGAAGTTCCTTTGGGCACTGACTTCAGCACAAAGCATTCATATCAATTTAACGAAAACTTAACTTCTCTCATCAGACCATGAAATGCTTTTATAGTTATAAAACCAATACTTTACAGTCTATTCGATGCCCTCAGAAAAAGCTTCTGGAAGGCTTTTCATGAGGGCCATTTTCAGTCAAAGTCGCATGGAGACTTTACAAACTCAAGACCACAAAATGTTGGATTGTTCACGCAGCAAAAGTCATTCAAAAGTAAAAGTCGAGGGTACCACAAAACTCCAAAACAATCTATCTCTGTGCATGTAGATCCCAGATGAACTCATGCTGTAGTCATTTGTTCAACAATAGAACATTTCCAACATAGATAGAATGTTGCCCCCTGCTATCTGAAGACTTCAGTGACCCTGTTTCAATCCACAGTCCTCAGCCAGCTCAGAACCTCCCATCGTGAAACGGATTCTAAATCTGCACAACCTTCTCTCATTCTTTGTAAAATGAATCGGCGTTGAGACATAACTGTACACAATTTTGTTTCCTTTAATTTAGACCTTTTTATCTTTTATTTGTCTATTTTGAGGATGGCTATACTGTACATACATCTTTACAGTACATATACTTTAAATGCCTATGAATTCTATAAAAATGAATCTATCTTTCTAGTGAACACAGCAAGTGAAAGAAATCACCGCGAGCTGGCTTTCTATTTTCCTTTTTTATGCAAGCCCTTGTGTCGATGCCAAGCTGACAGTGTGAAAGTTTTCTTCTGGAACACCCAGCGGCATCATTATCTAGACCTGTCTCTGCTTTTAATTTTTATCTATTTTTATTTCTATTTTGGTACCAGAAACAGCATAACCGAGTGTTATAAGAATTGTCTTCCCCCCTTTTGTAAGAAGTGCCGCTCTCTCTGCTGCACTGCGGAGTCTTCGCTGTCGGAGGAGAATGCGGACGCCCCCCCCCCCCCCTTTCGGGACTTACAATGCGTACATCCCCCCCCTTCGGGACTTACAGACTGGAATGTTGGGAACGGCGGGATATCTCCCCTGGGCAAGCTGGAGAACAGGCCCAGGAGCTGCTGGGATGCAGCTCAGAGATTCTGCAGTGATGTGATATTCAACATGGAGCCATTTGGATTATATGTTAATTTGATTATGGCTACCAGTGAGCACATCTTTCTTTACAATTTTCCACAACATCTACCTGTACATAAAACAGGTCCTGCTGCCTCTATCTTCCATTACTGGATATAAATAACAGCTGAGTGTGTCTCTTATCTTATATCACGCCTGATACAGAATTCCGGCGCAATGTCGGGAAACGGCAGCGTCTGCTCGCACTTGTTGTGTTGCTTTTTGTTTGTTGTCTTCTCTCCTGGTCTCTCTGCCTCCATGCAGAATGTATAACAGGCACCACGTATCAGCTTTTATTTTCCGTTTTGTCAGACCGCCGCACCTCCTCTTTACTCCCCAGCTATTTGTGTCCCCTCTTATGCTCCTGCACCTCTACCCCCACCCTATCGTTACAGTTTTCTCGCTCCTGCAGGTCTGCTGGCCACAAATGGGAACTTGCAGGCACCACATCAGACTCGATGATGGCTCACGCTGAAGGGCGATTAAGAGACTTGTCCCGGCTGATTCCTTGCTCTCACTCATAGGAATAGAGACAATTTGTTCCAGCAATAAGGGCATTAGGTCACAAGCCATGGCTGTCGCAGTCTGTAAGTGATAAAGGTTCTTATTAAGAATCTCAACAGAGTGCACAGTACCAGTCAAAAGTCTGGACATACATACTTAAGACAATTTGCTTTTGAGATAATGACCCTGTACACACCGCAAAGTTATGTAAGTACAGTATTACCTTGTGAAAAAGGGATGAGACAGATTACCTGGCCCCCACAATCCCTAAATCCTGAAGAGCTCATTTGGGATGAGTTGGGTTGAACAGTAAGAGCAAGGTAGCCAACTTGTACCCAGAACTTGTGGAAACTCTGTCTGTTAGAGAAGCATTCCAGGTGGCTACATCTGGAAACTGGTTGAAAGAATGCCAAGAGAATGCCATCGAAGCAAAAGGGGCCTATTTTGAAGAGTCTAGAATATGAGATCATTTTGAGATGTTGAACACTTCTCTTGGTCGTTGCAATATTTGATATGTATTACTTCATTGCCTTGAGGACTTTTACTGTAAGGTGAATAGTGTGAATGTTAAAATAGCATTAAAAGAAGATCTGTCCAGACTTTTGACTGGTACTCTGTGTGCGTGTATGGCTATATACACACGCAGACTAAGCAATGCAGTGACAGAACTGCGACCTCACGCCTCCAGGATGTGTATTCTCATCCTGCCGCCGCAGTGAGTGTAGAGATTGTGATTGCCCCCCCCAAAGACAGCGCCCAAACACGTCGTGTATGCATCATCATCAGAGTGCAATGCCTAACCCTTCAAAGCAGAAGCTTGCATCACACTGGACCCCGATGTCTGCAAACAAAATAAATGGACTCCTTATTCTAATCATTCTAACCCATACAGTCATTGTGATTTCAGATGCTGTTTGGAGATCAGATTTGATGTATGATAAAAAAGCAGAAAGAGGGGACTTGGAGCACCAGGCATCTGCGAATATGCAGTGTCTCCACAATGCTTTTTTCTGCCGCCTGAATCTTGGGGTCTGTAGGCAGTAGTCACACCTGTCACCCTGCTGATGGACCTAATGAAGAGTAATGTGGTTGGCCTGAAGTAGCCTTCATCACACCAGAGTCTCCTGGCTGGTCCCTGACGCAGGGTCTCTACCCCCCTGCACACCCCAAAGCACCGACTCACCCAACATGACAACGCTGCTCTTACATAACGTCAAAACAGAGACGTTTTTGACTGCGGTTCACATATTGCTGGGTATACTGAACAAGGTGCTCTTGAGCGCCACCCACAGGGTAAACAATGTTAGTGGGCTGTGTATAAACAAAACATGCCAGTGAAGGAAGAGCATTGTTTGCCATGCATGAAAAGGGGAGTTGGAAGTGACAGTGAGCTTCCCATCTTTTTGTGTCAGCTGTTGGGTGGATGTTCTTTTTGTGCACCATGCATGTTTTATAGATTACTTTGAAGTGAGATTAATTGCTTGCACTATGTGTCTTATTTTGCACTTCATACATTTTTGTCGGCATTTTACATACCTTGCTGCTATGTGCACAAGAATTTCCCCCTGGGCCCAATAAAATCCATCTTATCATACTGTGTGCGTGCATGTGGATTAGGTTTATAATACTGTACATTGAGGGGACCCAATGTGCCCACCAATGTAATAAAAACCTGTTTTTTTGATGTCGTGGGGACCATTTTTCAGGTCCCCACAAAGATCTGTGAACGCAGTCAAAAAAGTAAAAAAGCAAAAATCCAAAAAGTCTTGTATTTTGTTTGGTTACTTATGGTTAAGGTTAGGGCTGGGTAGGTGCTAAGGGTGAATGGAAGATCCCCATTTAGATATATACACCATGTGTGTGTGTGTGTGTGTGTGTGTGTGTGTGTATGTATCAAATCAGAAGCAAAACACAAGCCAGGCATATCATCATATTTATTTCAAAGGCACTACACCATGGTGCAGCTTTATTAATGAATAACACCACTACAAATACCCTCACTGTGAACAGGGAGAAACACATGTATCGGTCTAATCCGTTCAGTCCCACCTCGAGCCAGGAACAGACAGACTCCTGCTGCAGCGCTTGGTTGGCTCTGTACAGATCAACAGCCACCGCGAACACAGACTCACACTCACTGCGGAAGCCTCCTGGAGCTCAGCGCCTGCACGCCATATGCCGTATATTCCTATTCAGCCTCTGCCGGAGAGATGCATCATCTCTGGTAGTCCTAATGACGGGAGTTAGGAGGGCAGAGATGGGGGACAATGGGCCGACCCAGCAGGCTCTGGGGTTCTCGTCAGCAGAGTCGTGCTCCGATGTCACGCTGGCTGACCGCTTAACCGACAACTTCAGATGGATGACGTCTAATGGAGAGCTCATTAGCATAAATAAAAATATATATATAATTACCAAACAGCTCCTGGAACGCAGCTAAAAAGCTTTTCATTTAACAACATAATTGTCTTTTCTTAAGTACTGGAATTACTTTGTCTATGTTTGCTACATATAAGACATTTTCAGTATTTTAAATGTGTCTTTACCACAAATGATCGATTTTGCACACCACTCAATCAGCCCACAGTACAGTTCAGTAAATGCATTCTTCACCACCTCATGTTCCAGGTCATGCACTATACAGACACTGTTGCATTTGATTGCTATATGTACATAAATAAGCATCACTGCACAAGTCCAGGTTCTCTGAAGGCCAAACATGCTTTTTCAATGCAAAATAGTCTCTTTTCACATATGGAACTGGCATGCCATGGTAAATAACACTAAAATGGAAAAGGAAGTATCCAACATTGGTTTCAACTTTTGTTTTTTTTTTTGTTTGTTTTCAAAAATATAGGCTTGAAATAGACTCCTGTCGATGAGAGAAATGTGAGGCGAGGACAGAATCCCAAAGTCTTGAGATGCTTAATATTGTCACTGTAATGATCTGCCCCACATGACGATGTGTCCTGAAAGGGCGTCAAAACTCTACAGCACAGCACATCTGGTGCCGTTAACGAAAGGGAACGATGGGGCTTGATGCTGTTTGCTGCGGTCACGACTGCTCACTGAGTGAGTAGTGACAACAGCACTGGCAATACTAAAACGCTACAGGAACACTGAGTATGTTTCACTTCTACACTCAGATCTCAAAGGGACAGCTGGATTTCTCAGATAGCTCAGTCCCAGGTTAATAGCACCTACAGAATGTCATGTTACTAACTGTGCCATGGAAAAGCCTTCCTTCTCATCTCATTTCTTTGTTTTGATTCCACAGTCAGTTTTTTATGGCACATTCCACTCCAATGAACACATAGCTTTATACAATCTCTCAAGAATCCCTTCAGATATGGGAAAACAGGCCAATTCATGATCACCCCTTTTGGAGAGTCAAAGCCCGGACGACCCAAGCGTCGATGTTCATCTTTGTGTGACGAAAAGTCATTTCCCTTCCCCATACTAAGCAAACAATGCATATTATGGGGCAGTGTCATGGGATACCATGAATCATGCGATGCGTAGGCAAGTCACTAAACTTCCACCCACACGCGTGCGCTTCTTTTCACAGATTCCGATGATGTTATCCTCCACAGACCTGGGTGATGCCTTAGGTTCCCTGCAAGTAAACAGAAGGATTTGCCGAGGACTCCCCTCCCAGGGAGGTGAAGGCACCGTATTGTCTGGCACTGGGAGGGGAGGGTCAACGAACAACCTGGTCAACGATAACCACAATTGCACTTTAGCATCATCGCTATGATAAGCCAAGTCCTGTGATCTTCTGGGCACAATAATATTTTTTAAAATTACTAATACATTCTGGTGGTAGATCATTTACTAATAACAAGATCATGGCCATTTTAGGGTGACTTAGGTGTATATAAACTCATTAAGTAATCATCTTTGGTTTTTACATGTAAGAAATTTGACCAGAAGCATATTCTCCATGACTACTTGAAGATACAATGCCTTTATGTTTAAAATTAGTATTTTTGATGGGGGGGTGGGTGGGGGGCAGGATTGTGACAGTCTCAGGAGGAAAAAGGGAGACCCAGGCTGGTTTCAACTGACCAGTTGAGTTTAAAGAGTCACAGTCACAGAGTACTCAACTGGGTGGCTGAAACAAAATCTTGGTCTGGATTTTCACTTTATGGACCTGAACTATCTAATTCTGGAACCAGGATACTGTAAACTCACTTGGGAAGCTTTTCTATCCCCAAATATAAAGCACATTTTCCATCCAGCCTCATATCATGTGTTTCTCTTTGCCACCACGATGTCTTCATTAATGTCTATGTTTGGGTATAATTCTCTTCCTGCAATTCATGCTAAGAATTAATGTCATTATAAAAGGCTCAGCTCAAATTGTTTCCCCAACTCATATGGCAATTCTTTGTCAGTCACAGCTCATCGATCTCTAATCTAAATTTAGACTTAACATCAGTGCGTACTGAGGCAAATTGCTTGTTGCTAATGACATGGAAACATAAAGGAAGGGGTTTCTTTCATATTGCTGGGCAGCATTACTCAGAAGAGACTGATTAGATTTGTATTTATGTCTGTGTTTCTATGGACAACCGCTGCCTTTTCAAAGAAATAACAGAGAAAAATGATTTTACTTCCATCTAAGCTTTCAATGTCTATCAGAGATTAGTTACAGAATCCATCTGTAGTAACTGCATCAAATGTCAAAAACCAGTTTTTCTGAGCCACCAAATTATATACCTCTAGATTAATGGTGGCATGAATGATAAATGCATGATCTGTCTGCATCTTAGTAACTAGTAATTAATTTGCTAATGATTAGGGGGGGGTGTATTTGAGCCTAGCGGGCAGTAGATAGCATACATATTCAGCACTGGCCCTGTGAAAACAAGGTGGTCCTTGGCCCCCCACCCTAAAAGTCCTGTTTTACAATTTGGACTTTCGAAGTCACGCTAAAAGTGTTAGCTAAAAAACATTACAGGGCTCTCAAGTCTCACGCATTGACCGTGAGATACACGCATTTCAATTAGTTCACACGCTCACACGTCACACCTTGTATTTCTCACGCTGAGATGTAAGGGATAACACCCACCAAGGTGTCCCGTTATATAGAATTAGTGGACGATGCGCAAGAATACAGAGTGGAGTTTTCCACCGAGTTCATGACTGTCTCGAGTTACACAGAGTTAATAGCTACCAGCCAATCAGAATATAGCATTTCTTGTTTCCGGGTAAATCCCAAAATAAGCAACACGTAATCCTGCTGCAAGCACATTATTACATGGATGCGCACACAGATGGAGTGCAGGAAAGGTGGAAGTGGCAGAGCAAGATCCAATGAATGCGGCAGGCTGGGCTCTCAAGTCTCACGCGCCGACCGTGAGACACACGTGTCGCCCCTAATGTAATCTCACTCCAAAGTTCTGATGGAACTTGAGAGCCTTGCATTAGCTAGTGCTAATGAAGAGGCTGTTACGAGCGTGCCAGTCGCTTTCTGGGGGGGCTGCGGTTGTAGCCCTTTCCTTCTTCTTGCTCTCCACCCTGATCCGCTCTCTGGCACGTCTTCTCCACAGTGTGTGCACAGGGTCAGTCAGGTACAACAAGATCATCGACAAGAGACAATGACATAAGGAGGGCGAGGACAGGAGGAGGGGGCGGTACAGGAGTCGGGTCCACTGGAATGTTTAAGTGCTTGTAGTCCTTACGGCAGGGAGGTCGTGCTGATGGGGGGCTGGGCTGGCGGTCTCTATTAGTCATACGGGTCCCTCCGTGAGGCCCTCCAGGGGCAGGCTGGTGGCGTTGTCGGTGGGTGAGGCCTCCTCCTGTTGGATGCCAGACTGGGCAGCCAGGCTGGCATAAGGCAGGTGGCAGTCTATGTGCAGGAAAGGGGGGTAGTGCTGCCGATAGCAGATGTAGGCGAAAGCCAGGCCGATGACTCCGCCCACAAAGGCGTCTGCCAATTACAGGAGAAAGTGAATTAATGGGCGTAATTCACTTATTCAAGGAGGTCTTTTGTGCCCTTAAAAGCACTGCGAAATATTACCTATTTATAACAGCTAGAGGTAAACAACAAGCGTTGAGAACCGGGCTCAATGTTACTACTAAAGGGCAATCTCAGGCAATTACAATTAAGCATTAGGTTTAATAAATCTGCTTTGTTCCTACTGCTTAATACTTAATGTGTCTATAAATGGCTGAATGAAAATTGTTAAACCACGTAATAATAATAGATGGTTTCCAAGTGCACCAGAAGAAAGCTTTTACTTACCTGTCAAACATGCACATTCACTAAACGCAGGGCTTATCTTCGGTATTAAAACCCTGTCAAGTTATCATCCTAATTTAAATGAAAAGATTTAAAGATTTAAAGCTTCAGTTAGGGTCAAATGAGTGCTGCATGAGTTGTTCTAAATGTGTATCATCCATCAGTGGATTGGAAGGATCACCCAAAATCCTGCAGCACATTGTGGTCCTATGAAGGTCTGATGCTTTGTAACGGCACAGAGATCAGGGACTGAGGGAGTCAACGCAGGCCACAAAGGGGGGGGAAACATCGCTGATTTAATGAGACAGCTTGTTTGCGCCTTGTCTTTTTAGGGCTGCTGGTGCTGAATACTATTGGCACCATTAATGTGACTTTATATGATTTCACTGATAGGGATAAGCAGATATTAGCAGATAAAATACCGTCTTGCATCACTGGACCAAAATGAAGCAATTTGGATAATGGCAGTGTCCTCTTGGCAGGCCGACAGTCCACCGGCACGGTCAGGGCCGTAGTGAAAGTCTGGGAGCTGGGGAATGCATCGGGGATCACGACTGGGCAACACGTTTGGTGCAAGGACCGTGAACGGTATCTACAGAGCTACTCAAATAACGTATGTGCCAGAAGTATTTAAAATTACATGTGTTTAATGTACAGTGATCCCCGCTATGTCGCGGTTCAGCCATCGCAACTATCGTGGTTTTTTCCCTGACGCATACCTTGCTTGTGGTCTGACTGTTGTGAGCAAACTTCTTGTGAACCCATACTGAGCTTAAAATGTTTTCATTTTTAAATATTCCATTACATATACAGTGAGAAAAAGAGAGAGATGTGTGTTTGTATGTGTATATATATATACACACACACACATATACATTACATATTATTATTATTATTATTATGTTACTCATATCCTTAGCCCAACATCCACATATCATATGTGTTTACAAAGTGTGTTTTAATAAGTTTTCATGTGTTTAAAACGTGTGGGAGGGGTTTTTTAAGGCTTAAACTGTTTATTTATATGGTATATCTATATCATGGATTTTCACCTATCGCTGATGGGTCTGGAGCGTAAGTTCCGCGATAGGCCCCCTGCCTATCACTGTATTTCCAATTCTGACTTCACAGATATCCCAAAATCCACCCTGGCTTACGAGAGATAGCCTTTGCCATTCCAGGGGAAACCTCTTTGCATGAAGTCACTTCCTTTTTCTTCCAACCCAAGGTAGCGGAGGTCTTGTCACTCCCGAGATCATGACAGTGGTGGCATAGTGAGAATATTTCATTACACAATGATCATGGTTCACCGGGCAGGTTAATGTGTGAGCTCCCGGCTGGTGTTTACTGACAGACTGAAAGTCCTCTTCAGGCTTAACTGCCGCAGTCAGTCTCAGCTGTTTGATGACTTATTTTTAGCATTGTGGGGCTAGAAGGGAGCATCTTACTGTGAGAACTACTGCTTTAATATTTCTTTTTCAATGTGTTGCTCGCTAACTTATCAATAACGCTTGTGAGGTTCATCATTTACTCAGTGCTGAACACTATCTATAAAGCCTTGGCCATTTTCTAAGATACATCGTTACGTCACTAAGATCTCCAGTCACAGACAGACCCTATTGAAAGGTGGTCATGTAGGTATCCGGTGAGAAAGACCACAAGCCTGCGTGTTTCTGGGCTAAACTACAGATAAATAGACATTCATCCCAACCACGGCCGCTTCTCAGTAACAGAGACGTGGGTTGAGTGTGTCAGCATTCGTGACAGCTTGGTTTAATATAAAAATCACACCCAATCGGTCACAGAGCCCCAGTGCCAATTAGCCGTGAGCGTCTGGCGGCGGATGCTTCCGGAAGACTGGACATGTTGGCGATGTCACATCTCGCTGGTTTTGATTTTACGCGGTTCTGCAACGTGCTGCCTTTCATCTGCAAGCCTCGTAGAGCTTTACAGGTGGGCGGGGGAGGAATGGGGGTGAGGGGGGTCGTAATTCACTCCACCTGCTGCTAAAGTGTGGCACTTCCCATTAAGCCCGTGAGACAGGGCCAATTAAACTGCAGCCAGCCATCGATCCTCAGCGGCAGCTGCACTGTCTGTCTGTCTGTCTGTCTGTCTGTCTGTCCAGGCTACACGAGATGGTGGGTGTGATAGAGGCAAGCAAAGTATATGGGGTGTTTAGTTCTGATTTCTGTCCCCTGGGTAACGTATCACCTGAATAGCACCAGTAAAAATAAAAATAGCTCAGAATAGCCAAGAAAAGGCCCTGACAGGAGAGACACCCTCTCAGTCAGTATAAACGAGGGGGGTGGGGGCACACTGAACATGCCGCACGAGACGGGCACTGACCTTGCCAGTGGTGCTTATAGTCGCAGGTGCGGGACAGCGCGATCATCATGGCGCTGTAGAGGGGTAGCACGATGGCACAGAGGCGCCAGCTGCGGCCGCGCCCGCCGTCCGTGAAGCACTGCAGCTTCCCGGCCAGGTAGAAGGATGTGAAGCCCAGGCCCGAGAATGCGACTGAGGGACGGAAGGGCGGCGATCATTAAGAGAGGTGAGCAAACAATCGTTTTCTGAGTAGCTCAGGCCACACGGACTGCAGTCATTTCCAAGGCATACAGACATCCATAATTCCCAGGAAACATGACAACCATCATTCCCAGGAAACTAAGACATCCAACATTCCCAGAAAACATGAACAGCATTAATTGCAAGACACAAAGACATCTAGTTTTCCCAGAAAACATGGCCATCCATCATTCCCAGGACACACAGACAGCCGTCACTCCCAGGACACACAGACAGCCGTCACTCCCAGGACACACAGACAGCCGTCACTCCCAGCACACACAGTTAGCTGTAGTTCCAGAACTCGCTCCCCCTGAGAGGGTCTCTCCTGTGGCCAGGAAGTTAGCAGTGTACCTTCCCAAGAGAGAAGCTGAGAGATAGGAGCTGAAATTTAGGCAGTGCAGCTGAGTTTTACATCACAGCCTTTTATTAGAATCATCCTTTTATTAGTATCATCAGAGTCTAGAGGTGGGTCATGGGAAATCTGACTACCATTAAGGCTTTCAAAATCTGCTTTGGTTGCCCCCACGCACCCCCACTGCGGGTAACTTTACGTCCCCCACACCCACATGCTGACTATCAACATGCCTGTCTCACAGGACACCATCTTCAGGGCAAATCCAGGCACTCTCTCTCTTTCTCTCTGTCTCTCTGTCTCTCTTGTTCTCTCCACAGACAATAACCTGCCAATCCAGAGCTGCTTTCTACTTCTCGTCCTTCTGCTTTATTATCTTCAACTTGTTGCCTTGGCAACTTTGCAGAGACACAATAAACCCCTCTAAGACAGAAGTGCAATTGGCCCAAACCTCATTAACAATGTATTTTAATGATGCTAAACTGCTGATGCACATGCTATTTCCAGCCTGGGTGGTTGTGAGTGAAAATTTACCCACGGCTCCAAAAAACTGATTTAAATATATGATATATTTCCCATCATCTTTTCTGGTGTTTTTGTTTAAATAGATGAAAGACAAATGAAAAGCACAAGACAATACCAGACCTATAGTCTAAATATGCACTAAATATTTCACTATGTAATAGTTATATATATTTAATGTATTTTCGATGTATAAGTCCAGAATGCCATTCATAATACAAGAGGGTGTGAACGGTGCTAAATCGAACCTCACAGATCAGCACCATCCGGCCAGTTCGACTGTATTCCACATACTCCATAGGTGAACAGACAAACTTCGCACCTGAGTCTGTCAGGTACATCCCAGTCTCCTCCAATCAGACTAACACTGGATTTAATAACACCTTGTATGACATTGGTCTCACATTACAATTCATAGATTCAGATAATGAATATTCAGGACACTACTGCCTGTGTTTAGCGCTGTTGCCGCACAGCATTGTGGGTCTGATTTCCAGCCCAAGCTGTGCGTGCATGTGGAGTTTGCATGTTCACCCTTTTGTGTATAATTATAAATAGTCTCCAGTATGTAACTGGGCGGCGGTGTCCCCTGTGCTCCAGAGCTCAATGAAAGCCTACATTAGATGAGCAGTAATGGAAAACGGATGGACGGATGGATTTTATTACCATCAGGACAGTACTTAGAGCATAAACAGCGAAATATTAAACATGAAGTGTCCTCAGATGTCCGTGTCATTACACTCCACCTCAATGGATCGGCAGTCGGATGTTGTTTGGCAGGTTATATTGCGTGTATGAAGAGGAATGGTGCAGAACAAATGGCAACGTTTAATATCTTTTTCTTTTGGATGGGGGAGAGCACTAATATGAGAAGAAGACAGTGCTTGGGGGGGGGGGGTCAACCATGGGAATTAAAAGCCCAGTGATAGATCTGGCTAAGGCCGGTTGACCCAAGGTCATTAGGTTGTCAGCGCCGACATGGTGATGGTACGATCAAGCAGGGATCTGTCACCCTTCGGGAAAGGTTGCCAAGGCGATACTGAAGGCCAACGCGATGGAGCACGGAGATAATGCAGAGGGAGGTGGAGGGAGGAGCTGGGGAAAGGGCAGCGACAGGCACGGAGAGAGTCCCCAAAGCTGCGCTCGTATTAAACGGCACACCTCTGTAGTATTCACCATAAAGCGGAACACAAGGCTACAGCACACAGCAGACCAGCCGTCTTTACTGGCCGCGCACGTACCGGAGTGGCTGTTTGATCGAGCGCTTTAAGAAAAGGCACCGAGCTGGAGTTTATAACACCCATTATTCAAAAGGGACGGGGTTTTCGGTGAAAAATGGGGGCAAAGGCTGCTTCTTTCGCCGCCCTTCATCTGCACATTCTGCAGTATGTGGCGAACGTGATACTGTGACAAAGTAGCACATCTTAGACCTGGAGGAGAACGGAGAACTTGGAGGACAGAAGGGCACAGTCAGAATTCGCCCTGGGCATGTAGGTAGTTTGTTTCCTCTGTTGAATGTACTTACTGTAACGGATAGACTGGTGTCTAGTATACCCTACTATACTTTACTCTAATAAATACAGGAGTATGTCAGATGTACTGGATAAACTGGTGTATGGTGTACTATACTATAATATACTTTACCAAACACACAAGTATACTAGACATACTGGATAAACCAGTGTGAGGTGCATTCTACTATGGTCTACTACACTCACAAGTATACCAGATGTACTAGATAACTTGGTGTCTAGTATTCTCACTATATTAGACTCTACTACATACATGAGCATACTAAATGTACTTGATAAACTGGTGTAAAATATTTTATACTATCGTACACTCCACAAAATACAAGAGTAAACTACATATACTAGATGGCATTTGCACTTCCCCTGTTTATTTAACGATTATTTTAATTGAAACACAAAAAAAACAACTAAACCCTTGAAACTCTGAAAGTAACTTGATTAAAGGCAGCTTTTCTTAGTGTTTTGAATGCCCGTGTAATTGGCTGCAGTGAGCATGGAAAGCACAAGGACACGAGGCTGGGCAACTATGGCTGGGATGCCAAGTCCGTCACAGGGCACATGCACAATCACCCCCCCCCCCCACAGGCCAGAGGTGTGAAGCTACACTGCTATCCACTGATTCACTGCGCCGCCCTCATCAGCGAGGCATTACATTAAATCAGACGGCTCTTTCAGAAGCGACTCTGAGAGAGAAACCCACTGTGTCCATCAGGTGCAGTCCATCATGGCCTGATTTAAGGACGGCGGCTTCAGATTTCAGAGTCGTCCCCGTATCCCTGCTAGAATATGACATGCGAAATGTGAACTGAGGCTCACGAACGAGGAGTTTCATAATTATAGCAATTCATACATATTTATACCACAATAAAGCTATTCTATCCAGAATAAACAAGGAGGGAGAAAATAATGAGTTTCTGAGCCGTAAAAGAGAAGTTTGATTGCTTGTCTTATCTAGATGAGCACAGGATTATTATATAAAGTTTTCAAACTGGAAAGGGCTTTATATCTGACTCAAACTAACTTTTCACCTTTCAAGGTTAGCTTTTAGATTAGCGCAAAGGCGGGAGCTTAGGTGCTGAGTGTAGAGACAAGAGGAGGCCAGACACAAAAGAATAAAAAGACTGAATTAAAGCCGAGAAACATCAGTGGCCTGATCTCCAGAGGCCTTTAGTAACGCCTACAAGAACGGCGTAAATGTCATTTTCAGAGAATAAATACATAAGTGGTGAATTTAGTATTATAAGTTTAAAATAGTATAACAGCATTCCGATGTGTTTTTAAAAGGATTACAATTTAGGTATTATTTACTCATAGAATATGGAGTCACCAGGCAAATACATGAAGAAATAATGAGGAATTCATTAACCGGATTCTATTACAAGACACTGTTGTGTGCAGACTCAGCCAAGCAAATTCTGGAATAAAAACCAGATGTGTAAACACCCAGCAGGGGAGTCTAATGTGAGGAAGCCTTACGTATTCAAAAAAAGTTGACGCGACGAAATTTCCATCATGTCCCTCAACATCTTTGCAATGGATGTTTCATTCTCCATCCAGAGAGCACAATTTTAATTATCTTGTCTGAATGCCACCACCGCAACAGTAAATAAATCTCGGGAAGGCTTAAGATAATAACAGGCATGCCAAAACACCACTGCGCAGAACGTTAAGCTGGGCTCCTGCACCACCATGTCTCCACGTGTCTGCAATGGCTGTGATAAGCCAGCAGAACCTGCTTGGTTGTAGCCTGAAATTAATAAAGTAATTGCACATTCCTCACCCCTTGAGATTTCTTTTCCACAAAATCAAAATTCTCCAAAATTTGCTTGTAATTTGTTTGTGTTGTTCAATACGATTATCGCTGATAAAACAAGAAGCTTTTTACCGTGCAGGACAATAAGCCATTTTGAATAAATTTACCACTGGAAGGAGGCGGAGATCCCACCCAGGTGTACCCTGACAGTGGCTGGGATAGGTGGTAAGAGGATGGAAGGGAAACTGGGGGATCATTTCTCTATGAAGATTCATATTTACCTCCCTTAGGTTAAGTGATAAAACACTGACAGCTTCCTATTTCCCATAAGTTGTTTTCATATAAATGCCTCAATCTTCTAAAAGCCCATGGACATTTTCTGATATTCAGGTAAGAGACTGTTTAATTGCACAAGCTGAGCCCAGAGGCATGAAAACATTCTAGCTTCCAGTTAACCAAGCAACGGTCCCAAGTCTGTGTTTCCACCGACGGCGTCAGATCCGTCTTTTTCAACCCCAGATTTCTGTCGCTGCTTTGAAACCCATCGGCATCATTGCTTTTTTAAGCGGTTCCTTTGCTATCAGAAGTAGTTCTCAACCCTGTTCCTGGTGCCCCCACTGCCAGAATGTTTTTATTCCAACCTACCTTAAACCTTCCACATTCATAATTAACTTATTATAAGCCTGATTAACATAGGGCTGTAATGGAAACATTCTGATGGGAGCGGCACCAGGAACAGGGTTGGGAACAACTGTTACAGTGTCCCCTCGCACTGTCTTATGTTTGTAAATTGCCCACTGTGTGTGTTCCATGTGACGGACAAGTATCCCATCCAGGTTATCCTCAGCTTGTACCCTTTGCCCTTTGGGATAGGATCCAGGCTTCCCAGTGACCTAGGACTCAATGAGTGGTTGGAAGACAGAAGAATCCCAATATTTCCAGTAATGATACTATGATCCTCTGAAGATGAGTGATGATCTCAGTCCACATCTGATGCAAGAAGACTGTCCATCTCCATAATTAGTAGCTGTCTATGTAACTTCTTCCGCTGTGAGACTGAGCCCTATGACCTATCAGCCTTTGTCTTTTTCCACGTCTGCCTTGGACATGTCAAGACTGGAATGATACGGCATGCTATTTGCAGGCCGTCAGCCAGACCGGCGTCATGGCGAATGACAGATGACTGATTTTGTAGACGATGCCAAGAAAGAGTCAAGCTGTTGCCGTGGTACCCATGAGAAAAGTTCTCCAATGAAGGTTGAATAGTGACAGGGTGCAGAGTGAATTTAAGGGGAAAACAATATTCATGATGCCCAGAGGTGGCCTTTTAACGTGAAAAAAAATAGTGTAATGTAATTGCGGTTTCACATATTGACTTTGCATCTTTTAGGATGCAGTGATGCTCTTCCTTGGACAATGTGAAACATTATGAGAGAAGGAACCTTCAAAGTAAAGGAGAGATAACATCAATTTTAGCTTGATTCAAGGGACGGAAGGTATTGAGTTGCTCATCCTGTGGATGAAAAAAAAAGTGCTGTGCTGAGGATTGGAATGGCACTCAGAAGTGAAGCAGGGCTGAAGGTTTAATTCATGTGTATTAATTTATCTCTAATTGCCGTTAGTTGCAGAAATTAATGAAATTGCAGGCTGAATGTTTCCAAGTCACCTGTGATTTTTGTCTAATAAAGCACATCTGAAAAATCCCAAAGAAATATCCTCTGAAGTTGTTGCTTTGGATCCAATTGATCTTGCACTGTCAGCCAGAAATGTCTTGATAAACTTGCTTGCAGGTGAGAGTCCTTGCCAGGTGAAGTCAAACGGTTGCGAATAACTGTGCAAGTCGAGTTCATTTTGTGAATCAACTAAGACTACATTTTAACTATTATAATCTATTTAACCTGCACTGGATATATATATTTTGAGCCACTGGTGAGACTCATCACCTAAAAGTGCCAGTTAGGGATCAAGGAAGTCCTACGATGTGACTTTACAGTTTTACATATGTTGTTCTGAACCCTTTCAACAAATATTCATGTAAAATTCACCTACACACGACAAAGGTGTCTTTGAGCTTGAATTTTTCACAGCTGGTTAAATACGATTCCTGTTGCGTGTGAATCTGACTAAAAGGATGAGGGAAACTCCTCCGGTGGATTTATGTGCAATCATATCATGCTCACGGTGCACGGTGAAAATGAAGGCCATCGGCATTTTCCCGACAGCAAACTGGAACCGGGCGTCACGGATAACGAGACGAATCGATATCACGCCAAAGCCTTTCATGGAGAGCTGGGAGAGAAAATTTCAAATACTCTAGATATACGAGGGTTTGCTCAACTATTTGTCCTCTGCATGTTAAATATGCCCTTACTCCAAATTCTTTTGGAGAATAAATTTAATTAGTTTAAAGACAACTTCATATTTAATAGGGCTTATTTACACTGTTTTGCCTGGCTTTGTTAATTTGTGTTTATTGAATATTGCATATGTCTTTGGTACTCCAGTGTTACATTATAGTCCATACACAGTTATCATGATATACTGTTGTTCCTTACTTCCTCAGATTTTACATAATCGTCTTATCTGCATTCTAATCTGCATACCCAAATGAAGCGGGCTGCTTTTCACAGCTGCATGCATTATATGTTTCAGCTTTTCATTGCTGGTGGTCATGTATAGATCTGTAACAAGATGAGCCATAAAGTTAGCAAAGACAGATGGAAACTTTATGCAATGCGGCCCTCTAAGGATTTACGTGTCTCTGAGGTACCCAAAGAGGCAACGAATAGATAAATTAACATGGTCTAGATACACAAGACATGATGGACAAGAAGTTTAATGCACGCATTTCATCTGGAATGCAAAACTGTCAAACTGTACCTGGTTACAACAGTGTGTTTCATTTGTTTCTAAAAAAAAAATAAATTAAAAAGTATTTCAAAAAATTAAATGGTTTTGGTACCTTTGAGGTGTCATGCACGAAGTCGCACACTTCTCACAAGAACGACAAATCCATGTGGTCATTCTCCCTTCATGTTGTTATCGAAAACATCAATGCAAGCCGTACTTTGCCCGTGATCTCATGGAGGCCGCTGCCCACAGAGCACCAGGCCCTGAAAAACTCTGATTTCTTAAAGGCCATGATGGGAGGGAAAATTTCACACCAAATCAGGCTAGAACTAGGCAGCAATAGACCAAAGACAACCCTTATGGAAATCTCACGTCTGCTTCAGCTGCTTTTTACATACAAAGGAAAAATCCTCAACTGAGTTTTGTAAACTGACCGAGTTAATTTAATGGTCTCAGATTTACTTTGCCCCATAGACCTTGAAAGTTGACATAATTTGAGAGAAAGAAATTGAAAGTGCCGTCCTCAAGATTCATTCATATCCCGGATTAAACAGGAACGAGGGACATCACATTAACAAGATTCTGAGTACTTTATACTTTATTTGTAATAGGATTTCTTCGTAACATCAAATTTGTCTTAAGTAATTGATGTCCAGCAAACAAAAAAAGTATATCCATGACTACAAAAATTGCTGAACTAAAGCCCTCAGAAGAACCTTGTTCTTTGACATTTCATTAGAAACTTTTAGAACTTCTTTGAGGTACAAAAAGAGGCAAAAGTTATATGTCAACAAATACAAGGCCACTTAAAACTACATGCAGACTAGGAGACCTATCAAATCTACACTTTCTGCTGCAGTGTCGATTAGCCAAAAGCGAAAGGGTACCCAATGATGACAACCATGCCTTGCTGTCAGGGACTAATGATTTTGCAGCAATTCTGATGAACAGAAATACAAACTTCAGTATTCAAGGTACAGAAGTCAAAATGTACTGTACGTTGATCCAAAACATGCATCCCAATATTCAAAGCAATAATTAACTTAAAATAGTCTCCAGAGCACTTGTACTTAAAACTCTAGGAGATAGTGTACAAATATAATCTACATGTTCAGAAAATCTTGCCGAAATTCTGGCCAAAGGGCTGATCACAGATTCCCACTGCAAACTTCCATAAGTGTATCAAAAACATTACCGGCCAGTGCCTTATCACTGTGATCTATTCCTGAGGAGCATCTGCAGAATACTAACTACAGTGCTGTGAATAAACCTAACCTGAAGCTTTTCCTAGGAGTGAAATCTACTACAAAGATGATGGCACTCTTTGTAATCCCATTAGAATTTCTATTATACTATTTCCAGTTATATTTCCAATGTGACACGCCCAATTTTTTGTGGTTTGTCTTTTCACCGCGGCTATGAATAAATGTTGAAGATAATCTATTTCATCTGGTTACAGCTAAGAATGTGATATTACACCGTGCACTTGCAGGAAGCTATGCATTTTATACATAATCTTATACTTTGGTTCTGTCAGGGCAGAGTTTTGTAATGTGCGTCAATGTTCATCATATGTTTGGTGCATTCAGTTCTTTTCCTGTCTCACATACTGGAAATCTTCCAGGGAGTATTTAGACTTGCTGAATTTGCAGAGCCCAACAGAGACACTCTTTATTAAGAGCTGATTTGATTCTTTGGTGTTGATTTAAGTCCCCGTGAATATATTCATATACCTTGTGTGGAAATGCTGGTATGAATCAGGGACTTACAGGAGGAATGACTACTGGGGAAACTCTTGCGTCCCTCAGAAACCAGGTTTGGCTCACCAGTGCACAACATCTTGGCATTCATTTGTCCATCTGGGAAACAGCGCTGGAAGTAGTCAGGCCTCGGCCTATAGGGGGCAGCACAAACATGCATGCATGTTTTCCAGTGTTGGGCTACCAGACCACTACAACTTAGACATCATGGTATGCATTACAATTTTTTTTATTATTACTATTATTATAATTTAGGTTAAATTAGTACCTTATTATTTCACTAGCTATAGCCAAAGCGTCTAATAAAAGTGTGGAAGCTGAGCACTGTGGCGAATGGACGCGCTTGTCAGGATGGGTTCGTTTAATGATTTACCTGCCCACTATCAGCTTGATGGTGTTGGTGAAAACGCCGTTCAGGGCAAGGGCCAGGGAGACAGCTGAAACACGGAGAAAAAGCAAGCAAGGTGAAGCGCTAAGGACTAAAATTAAGGGCAGTCAGTTTTAAAATGAGAATTCACATTACTGTGTACTTATGGACAAAGCTATTACCATCTATTATTTCTGCTGCCTCACAGCACGGTGGAATAGTAAAAAAAAAACACATAATGCAGCACTTTTAGGATGACTGATTCAGTCAGAAAGCTCAGAAATTGTAGGGTATAGCAAACTAAGTTCATGGTATCGACTTGAGAGTCTTCGGGTCTTATGTTAAAAAGTTCAACCTGTATTGCTGTAGTAAACATCAGCCTGCTCTGTGCTTATATTGCTTTAGGTATTACGTGCCGCTTACTTAACTAATTAAATGATGACTATGAGTAGATATAATGCCATTTCTGGCACTTGTATTTGTTGTTGTAGAAATAAGTTTCTTTGCTTTTTTTAGAGTAAGCATGCAGGGATTTGTGGATAATAATGAGGCTGTCACCACAGGACTAATTGGCGAAAAAGGCATTAATTTATGGTATAACTCTGCTCTAGCAGAATATCCAATTCATTCTTCATTTAATATTATTCCATGACTCCTTAATGAGATACAGGCAACTTGTACGTATCGTGTGAAAGACACAGGAAGCTCCATACTTTAAGGCAGTAACTTCGAGAAACTTTGTCAAAGATAATTGCGGAAATTCTGCCAAGTTATGTTAACACTCTCAACTCTTCAATAATTCTGCAAATTAATTCAAACGAAAGAGGGTATTAATCCATCTGTTCACACAATGTGTCCCTGGCTCTGCTTAATTGGATTCTGTTAATGCTGTTACTTAATGGCATTTGATATTTACTGTATCTAGGTACTTCGAGGCATACAAAGCAGGGCTGATTATTCACCGTGATGCTGACAAATGACACGAGATTGAAGATGAGCACGGGCACTGTTGTTGCATTGAGATTTTAATTTCCTTCCTTTTCAAGCAAGGCTATACCGATTGTACGGAACAAAAGCTATAAAGGAGAAACAGATAGAGAGGGTAGGAAACCCCGGAATGTGCTAGAAAGCTGTGTGGGGTTTCAGCCCCTATACTCTACCCAGACACGCTTCTTTAATTTCCGTCTTGTCCGTCCGGCGGATGATCTTCACCACAAATATAACTGCCAGAGGAGTCAGGAAGGAAATAGCCTGTAAGGAGAAGGCCGACGTTATAAAACAATAAATCGTGATAACAATTCTCTTAAAGGGGATTATAGCTTAATACGGACCTGCAGCGGGTTGCTGGTTGTGGACCTGGGGTCTGACCAAAGACTAACTGTGAATTGTTTTTGGTTGGGTAAAATTTGAAAGGTTGACTGCAGTTTCTTGACCCATTCTATTAATAACAGCCATTCATCAGCTGGACATGTACTGTATTTGATGAACCAGCTATGAGTCTGGGCCCTTAATGCCACCGCTTGCTGTTTCACTGGTATTTCGGCCATTTAGCGTGAGCGTGTCTCTTTGGTAGTGTGAGAAGCTTGTTCTAGACTCTTTTCTCCGGTTCTCCTCAATGGTGGGTTCTTCACTTATCGATTCCAAAAAAACAATTCAGGCCTTCCATTTTTCCCTCTCAGTTGACGCTCAGCATTAAAAGCAGCAATTATAGCTGGAATATCTTTCATGATAAGTGGGAAAGCGTGGAAGAGAGCTACGCCAAAGCACTTCAATCCCAGCTTCAGGAAATGAGCTGCCTCAAGCAGGGCTTTTCATTGTCCTCCACAGTCCTCGAAACACCGGGCTGGTTATTGTTTCTCGTGCCATTGCCCTGACCGCTGGGGGAGTGAAGTGTCCTTAACACATACATAATTACCACCTTTTCTATTACTGTTGATTGTTACCTGCCATTATGTAATAATCATGCCAGACCTTCAAAAACGGAAGTGCAAGGGTACTCAGAACATCAGCAAAGTCACTTCTTACAATCAGGAGGAGATTTCATGTTCATTGTGACCCTGTTCCACTTCTCTCAATGTGATTCTTCCCCTTCTCCTTGTTTCCTTAAGGACATAAATGAAGAGTGTGTGTGTGTGTGTGTGTGTGTGTGTAAAAATCTTCTTGTGCAGTTCAACCCATCTTCCATGACCCAAAGTTTCCTTAGGCCTCAACCTCCCGTGTCTTTCCGAGTCTTTCAAGGGTCAAAACACAGCAAAAAAGGACAGTATGTTTAACGAAGACTCTTATAAAAGGAACAGACATTGTTTTAGTCATAATTTGGTGATGAGAATTAATGGTGAAAAGCCAATATTAAATGAGAGGGAATATGCTGTCTTGTTTTTGTCTGTAACCTTTCTCTTAATACGCAAAAGGTTTCCCGTTAATATCAGTCACTGTGTGTGTGTGCACTTGTTTTACGCTCTTTTAACACGACGAGTGCCCCTGAGCATGTTTTACCCGCTAAAAACCACACTGGGTTAGAGAGCCGAGGGAAAAATGGTAAATGATGGAATAAGTGTCTTCAAGTGTTCTATCAACATGACGAAACACCAAGGATAGCTGCTCTGTCTTCCCCTTCATTGTTTCCCTGAGAGATTTTTATTTTTTAGTCAGAGGCAAGCCCTTGAAGTCAGAGAGCGACACCCCTGTGTTTTAAATCCTTTCTGTGTCACCCCTTTCCATTGTCATTCACCCCCGTGCCACCTGTGAGTGACAGCAGAGTGTATGATGCCTCAGTCACAGGGGACTGTCAACACAGCACCTGTTTGATGACAGGTAATAATCCACTTTGGAGAACGCCTTTCCAGTAGGTGTTTGTTTCAGGTGTATTTTTTTATGTTATCATCCAAGTCAAGGAGAATTCACTTGAACCATATGCCATCCGAAGCCTATGAGTGACTGAGTCCCTGTGGAGCAGGCGGTTCAGGCCTTTGAGGTTCGGGGTGGACTCGTGGCTGCAGGGCTGGCCTCTGCCATCGGTTTTATTGTCTTTCCATACAGAGAGTAGTTTCAAGCCACATTTCATGGCAAAGCACTGTAGTCATACCCTGTAGAGTCTGCAGATAGTGCTGCATGATTTATGTCTGTTTGTTTTGTTAATAAACGGCTCACATTTTGTTATGTCTGAGAATCAAATGCATAGAAACGATCCACTTTTAATCAATGACAATTACCGCTTAGACCTTATTCAGAGCAGAAATAAAAGAAAGTGAGTGCAGACTATCCAGGCACAGTTAAATACAAAAAACAAGCAATTTCTAAAATGTATTTGGTCCATGTTTCAAACAGGGATTTTCCATGCAAAGAATATATGCATATATGTGACCCATGGTGCTTCCTGCAATATTGTGCCATTGTTGTGTCACTCCAGAATCCACCACCCTTCATCTCCATGATCCATACAGCCCTGCCCCTATGGACCTCCTGTCATCCACTCTAGCCTAGGTTTCATTCTAGTCTCGATTCACTTCATTGAGCCCATTTTCTGTTTGATTAGATGTCCATTGACATCGAGGGACTGATAAATTCTCTATTTCCTTGAGTGGCTGGTGTTGTGAACCACTGTAGAATAAGGAAGACTGCCAGTCAAGTATAGATGATACACACACAGAGGGGTATATATGGGTGTGACCGCAGGGGCACTAGCCCCAGCTGAAAAGCTGATTGGCCTTGGGAGTGGCGCCTCCACTGTCACTCATGGATTCAAAGCATATCATTGACTAATAATAAAGTTGGCCCACCTTAAAAAAATCATAAAACAACCACTGAGATAGACAGGATAAGGAATACTGTGCAAGTTATGTATATAAAATGAGAAGAATAAGAATCTAAATTGCAATAACAAGAAAAAGTTGAAAATTAATTGAAATTCAACCATAATTTATATACTGTGTGTATATATATATATATATATATATATATATATATATATATATATATATATATATGCATATATTAAGAAAAATCTGCAATTAATCTTGCACATTTCATGTGCTCATCAATGTTACTTGATTTGTCTAGATGAAATTTTTGTTTTCTACTACATCAAATCCAAGCCTATTTTAACAATTTCAGTTTTTAAATGCATTTTTACTGTTTCTCCTGTTCTATTGCTTTTTTATGGTCAGGATATTCAATTAGGCCCTTGAAAGCACCCACTAGGACAAATTCATCTAACCCGTATGGAAGCATTTTTAAATAAAACGTGGCAGAACAAATGATTTGATATTATCATTTCTTCTGCCCAGGATGGCTGTAATTCACGTGCAGCAGAGCGTTTAGTCATGTTAATGCATTGGACTGCACCGGGTAGGCTTGGGTGGTGGCCGGACACTCTTACAGTTAAACTATGGGTGACAGCCAGTCACACGGCTGAAGCTTTTCATGCTCTGACTCCGTAAAAAAGGATGTGATAGTAGATGGCGTGAATGTGGGACTGGTACTCACAAACATGACCCTCTTCGGGATGTGATCGGACTCCACCAGGGGGTTCTTGTATAGCCAAACCTCCTCGGGTTGGATCACTCGTTCAAAGGGCTCCAGGAACTCGGTGAAGCTGAAAGATGGACAGGCAGTTAAGGTTTCGGTTTTAGCAAAAGTCCCTAGGATACGGAAGCAAGGTACTTCATGCTATGAAAAATTAAACTGCAGGAAAAGGAAACACTGTAAAACACCTTCTGATGCTGCTGTCAGCTATGATAATATAAGCAACATTGCATTTGTTTTGCTTTGCTCATTTGTTTAGTACTGGAGCTAACCCAATATGTTGTGATTTTGAATCCCCAGGCTAAGTGGGTGTAATTTGTATGTCCTCCACATGTTTGCATGGGTCTGCACCAGGTACACTGACCCAAAAACATGTGGTGAGGTGAATCAGTGTCTCAAAAGCAACCATACTGTGTTGGAGTTTATGCTCTGTAATACTCTGCCAATCCCATCCCAGCTGCTCCACTGCCCTCTGATCTCTGGAATAAGCTCCAGGTTCACCACGTCCCCCATACATAAGTGGTTATGCAAAAGTAATGGAATATATACAGTCCATTCACTGTATATCCACTATATGTGGGCATTCCAATGACCGATCCACCTGACATAAACCCAGCAGAAATGGGTTTGGAGGAGTTTGACAATAAAGTGAAGGAAAAGCAGCCAATAAGTTCTCAGCATATATATGGGACCTCCTTCAGGACAGCTGGGAAAGCATCCCAGGAGGCCACCTCATGGAACTGACATAGTGGAGACTGTAGGGTCAGACAGTCCCTGGAACAGTCGGCGTTAAGGGAGGAATCACTCAGCTCACTAGGATCTGAACAGGCAACCTAATGAGTCCCAAACCACAGAGGTGCCCCCTTCCCCCAACATTTTTTGTTTAATGCTTTTTTGTTCAGTGCTTAATTCCATATGTTATCATATAGTTTTCTTTGTCTTTATAATGAAATGTACAGAATCGCACAAATACAGTAAAACCTTGGATTACGAGTAACTTGATCTGCGAGTGTTTTGCAAGATGAGCAAAAATTTTTCATAAATTTTAACTTGATAAACGAGCGAGGTCTTGCAATTCGAGTATTACGTATAGCAGGGGTGGCCAATCTTATCTGCAAAGGGCCGGTGTGGATGCTGGTTTTTGGGATAACCTGTAGGTCAACTGTTCAAACTCAGGTGTCAGGACTCTTCAGCCAATCAGTCCACTAATTAGTAATCTAATTAGGGAGTTGCAGCGAAAACCCGCACACACACCAGCCCTTTGTGGATAAGATTGGCCACCCCTGACGTATACGCTTTGTCTGCCGAGTGTCACGTGATAACAACTGAGCCGATGGTTCTTCTCTCTCTCTCTCTCTCGCTGCGGGATTGTGGGTAATCGTCTCCCAAGCTCAGTCTCAGTCGGCGTGTCTCACTCGTATAGTCAAAATTGAGTAGAAAAGCACCACCTGAATAAAGGCGTAGCAGTGCGAGCGATGAATGACAATGCAATGTCCACATTTCCTATCCAGAAGAAATCGAAAAGGAGGCAAAAGTGGATAGGTTCCTCGTTAATGTCGCACAAAAAGAAAATGATTCCAGTGAGCCAACAGATAGCGGTGATTCCATTAGTTGTATTGAAAGTCATCCTACAAAATAACCCTCCTCTTCTCCTCTCTCTCGTCTCCCTCACACCATCCACAATTCTTTTCAAAGGTAAAGTGTAGGTTAATTTGTTTTATGTGTTTTACTTCATATTTTGTATTAATCATTTTTACATGAACATTTTTGGGTGGTGGAACGAATCATCTGAGTTTCCATTATTTCTCATGGGAAAATTCACTTTGATATACGAGTGCTTTGGATTACAAGCACGTTTCCAGAACGAATTAGGCTCGCAAACCAAGGATCGTGCTGCAAACCTGTTCTATGGGTAGGTGTGTCCAAACGTTTGACTGTCATTGTATGTTCAGTAACATTAAGCATTTCTGCTCCTTTATGGCGGGTCAGAAGGCACATGCTATGCACAGAAAATCTGTGCCAGGATACAAGGTTTTGAAGCCTGAAGGGGGTGGAGTTTGCATTCTTAAATAAAGGAATGGGTGCTAAAAAATTTTTACATGCACGGTAAATCAAAACAGACAATAAATCATACATAGATGGTTCTGTGCCAAAAGTATCATATATGTAGCATACATGTTTTATTGTGGTTGTTAATTTATAAGACACAAGCATGAATTACAAATAGGTATATAGAGTACATTCAGTATGTGTATAATTTATGTCTGTGTCTTGGTGATTAACTGGGAATTTGCAGTGGTAATGTATTCATTTTAACGGCTTCTGTTCTGCTTCTTCTTGGTTTTGGTTAGACTTCCATAAAGCAGACAGCTGCACAGTGGTGTAATGCTTCTCAGCCACTACAGTCCAATACAATAAATTAAAAAAATAATAAAAATCTTGTCACAGCAAGTGAAGCAAAACCATATTAAAGGTGCTGCATATGGGTTCATTTGAATTCAATTTTCTGTCATTGAAATTTTTACATTTATATGATAAATGCCCCCATGCAGGCATATGCATTAACATATTCATGGTCATAGTAAAATATACAGCATTGGCTCTCTTTATAGCTACACCTGGCTACTGTGGAATTTATCTTCATGGGTTTGAAGAACTCAGTTTTACGGTAATTAGATTTTGATTCATTCATTTGCATTAAGAGTACTATGCAATTATCGTATGTAGTGTTTTTTTAAGGGGTGAGTGAAGAGAGCGTGAGAGAAATCGATCAACTGAGGTGGGCGGGGGCACAACATGCACATCGTGGCATTGAGATTGTCGTATGATCTTCAGTTATGTGCCCACAAAGCTTGCGAGATAATTAGACCCTGTGTCCTTCTCTGGCTCATACTGGCTAACTAGCTTCTGAGGAATTAGCATGCTATCCCCCCCCCCCCCCCC